ATCGTTTGCTCCCCATTTGAAATATTGTGCTACCCATTTCAAGTAGTGTGCTACCCTATTTTAAATCATGGCTACCCATTTCAAATCGTGTGTTAACCATTTGAAACAATGTGCTACCCATTTCAACTAGTGTGCTAGCCATTTGAATAATGTGCTACCCATTTGAAACAATGTGCTCAGCCATTTCAAATAGTGTGCTACCCATTCGTATATGTGCTGCCCATTTCAAATATTGTGCTACCTATTTGAAATCATGTGATATTCATTTCAAATAGTTTGCTACCTATTTGAAATCATGTGCCCATTTCAAATCGTTTCCTACCCATTTGAAATATTGTGCTACCCATTTCAAGTAGTGTGCTACCCTATTTTAAATCATGGCTACCCATTTCAAATCGTTTGTTAACCATTTGAAACAATGTGCTACCCATTTCAAATAGTGTGCTACCCATTTGAAACAATGTGCTACCCATTTCAAAAAGTGTGCTACCCATTCGAATAATGTGCTGCCCATTTCAAATAGACCATTGTAAACAACCGGTTTACTCATTCGAAATAATATGCTGCATAGAAAATACAAAATGTACTGTACATGTACAATTCACTCTTCTGTACTAGAGTTGCCTCCCCACCCCGGCCTATTAAATGACAACGTTAATCCGGGTCCGTTTTTAAAAAAGGAGGAACGCAAGCCGATTTCACGGATCATCAGTTAATTGTGGTCTTTTTGATGATTCAAAGCCGTTTATAACATACATAAAGCCGATAATAGTGCAATCGAAGTACAGTACTACATCAGTTCAGATAGCCAACCCTCTCTTTAGTTATAACTTTATTTTACATTGACGAGTTAAAAATGAATGCCTCTGATCCTATTATACATGCTGTTATTTTAAAGAAATTTGTACCTTGAAAAAGCGTTTTTATTTAAAAAAAAATTACCCACACATAACTACAGACTAAAAACGCGGGCGTCTATACAGGCAGGCTTTTGCTGGAATAGGCCACCTCGTTCGAAGAATGAAACCGGGTCCGAGGAAAGTAAAGACGGAAACATTCTATTACTACGTTCGCGAGGCTGTCGTAATGACCATAGATGAAAGTTGTGTTACCAGGAAAAGGGAGAATCGGACAAGGAACCTGTTCTTATAAAGGAAACCGTACAGAAGGGTGACATTAAAACAGCGTAATACGAGGAACGGGTGAAAAGAATGAGGGAAGAAAAAAGAGCACAATCTTTGAAAATTAGACTAGAGAAAGAACTGGAAATGCGATGCAAAGCCATCCAAGACTTGGCCAAAATAAAACCAAGCTCTTCTAATCACATTCCGCACATCGATTATCACCATTTATTTAATTTAAACACTTGGGAGTGGAACTTTCGGACGTGTGCACTTATATCGCTATCGAAATGATAATGTAGCCGTGAAGGTGTTTAACAAATTTTGAGGGCCTCAGTGATGAAAAGCTAAGAGGAACGGTATTCCAAGAAGCAAACATGATGCTTTCTGTTGCCCCTCATCCAAACGTAGTAAAATTGTTAGAATATACGTTTGTTCCTACAGCCAATAGTATATCATCAATCTGATAATCATACTGTATTTATAAAAATATAATAGACCTACATGAATTGTAAAATATTATAGTTTAAATGGAATTACAAATAATATATTTTAATATTCTGATATAAAAGTATATTTGATTAAACAAATTAACTCATAATCGTAACAACATTCCTAGGCCTTTATTATGAATTAATTCGTAAATTGATAAATAAAATTATATGTACTGTACTTGATTTTCACTTCTGAATCTGTAAGAAGAAAAAAAAAGGACACGGTAAAATTATATTCAAATTACTTGTAATATAACAATTGTAAAAAACTTCAAACACTCAATGATACTAAACAATGAATCATACTAAAAAAAATACAAAGAATATTAGGCGTATGATAGTTAAGCATCGTAAAAAAAGACAAAATAAATAAAATTAATACCCATGGTTACGTTGATGTTTGCAGTGAATAAGCCCACAACATACCCATTCATTCAGAATGAGTGTGCACGTCTTTGAAAAAAAGCAAACATAAAGGCCATAGCAACAACAAAGTTAATTATATATTATGATGATCAATGACTGAATTAAAATGAAACGTAAGAAGTGAACGACAAAAAAAGCAACATCTCGCTAAAACAAGCCGAAAAACTCCTACCACTGAAACCATGGCACATGTTTGTATGCTGAACAATGCAGGCGGATCTCTTTGCGGAGCAGCAGCGCGTATACATTCATGAAGGCGGCGTTCGAAGAAGATTATAGTTCATCAGACACTGCTAGCACGTCTACATTCCTCTGAGTTGTAGGCGGCGTTTAAAAATGTGACTGACCTTGTGTCTGCTTTTCCCATGCTTCTCCCGATCGTGGGAACGTTTCTCACTGAATTCACTGCAATTTGCAATAATGCCAACTGGCGGTATACTGACGTATGCCTATTTCAAACATTTTTCTTCCGTTCATGACAAAGTAACAGTATAATTATTCAAGTTTGTGTACTAGGCCTAGGCAGTATTATTAGTACAGTAATAATATCTAGTAGGCCAGATTTGCACATCAACATATTAAAAGTTTGTTGCACTAGCCTAGGCTGTATTAGGCCTACACACTAGGTAGGTCTAGGCCTACTGTTTGTATTACTGTGTAGGAGGCCGTTGGCGTTATATGTATAAGTATTTTCCCTTTTATTATTTCTTATCTAGGCCTATTGCATCTCCTTAATTTTTGATTATTTATTCTTTAGCTTCTTTTAATCAAGTTCTTTCAAATTTATTTCATTTCTGGCCTAGGCTAGTATTTCCGAGCTACCGCGGTATTTCGCGGTAACTTTCCCAGCTGACTGAGCTGCATAGAGTAATTGGAAAAACCTTGCCTTGGGCATTGGATAATTAATACTCCATGCTCGCGGTAGACAAGACACGCTCCATTGAGTAAATCTTGCTATAGCCCATTACAGCAGTTAGCCTTGCTGCCGCAGGAAAATCTCCTTTACCGCGGTAGGATAATTTGGCGATGCTCCAAGATTAAAATATGAATTGTGGACTAACTCTTCTGTTAATCAAGAAAATGTAGTTTTTTACTCCATTTATTAGTTTAGTAATAATTTGTATTTATAGACGATAAGGGTGTATCCCCAAATTTTGATTTCTAAGCTGGCTTGGATTGCAACTTTCATTTTTATTTTTTGTATTCACATTTCCAAACATCTACACTTGTTTTTACAGTGCGTAGAAGCCTTTTCTATTTTGCACTTTATAAATTAAAGACCAGACCAATAACCATAATGCTAAATCGCATTAGAATTACAACTGCTGCACTGTTTCACAAAGATAGAGGTTTAATTTGTAAGTGTCCTGGTGTTATAAGCTTTGGCACCAGTTACTGGAAAGCAAACATTTAAACTCCAAGCTCAGACTGTAGCATATACTTTTAAAAATATAACATAATTTTTGCTTTTAATATACATTTGTTTCTCCAAAAATTTAATTCAACGTAGTTTGTTGAAATTTCAGTATATTTCATCACATGTTTCCGAGGGGGTCTCGTTTCAATAATAATAAACGCAACAATGGCAAATTACCAAAGGAAAGCCATGACCTAAAGGTGAATTATGGGCTTATGACACATGAAATCCAAAGTTGTATAATGTACTGTTCTCATCGTGTGAAAAAAAAAAAAAAAACACATGACTGGAAATCCATAAGTTAAATATTGTACTATTCTCATTGTGTTAAAAAAAAAAAAAAAAAAAAAACAGAAACAAATGACTAGAAATCCATAAGTTAATATAAATATAGTGGTAGAACAGATATGGAATACTCTAAAATTTTCTTAGCTTTTTTTCTGAACAAAAACTCAGAAATATCTTAACTAAACCTCAGAAAAATGTATCCTTACTAATGAGGGAGAAACATGTCCTCTAGGTGTTGAAGCAATTACAGGCATTTAAAAGACTATTATAGAGTGGTAAGCAAATTCCCTAAACAGCAAAAACCTTAGCTTTTTGACAGAATGATGAATAGAAAATTGTATTTCATGTCTGAGCTTATCCTCAGTAAACTTAATGGCGTCTAATCCCTTTGGTCATTAGTAAGTTGTTCAGAAATTCTTATTTTTCTGAACTTTTTCTCAAATATCCCTTTTCTGAGGTTTCAACATTCCCTGTGATAGTACTTTTTTGACCTGTCGCGTGGTGCAAACTCTAGGCCCCAATTTAATATCGCGCGATGGAATGAAGAAGTACTAACGTGGGCCTATCATTACTTCTTGATGAAACCGATAGCAAAAGCACTAAAAGACATATTTAATGTTTTGTCAATGTTCGACAAATTGCAAGACGATGGGCGCTGTTGAAATTGAGGAAATGAGCAAAGAAGAGCTAGGCTAGACACACTCTTTGATCGCCCAGAAGTAGGCATTTAGGCTAGGCTAGGAGGTAAGTACTTTCTTAGGTAGAATTTATGCATGAGGTATAAAAAAAAAATATTGACTGCTCTAAGTTCAGTCAACGAAGAAATATATTGCCCCTCGGTGATAGACCATCCTATCTTCCCTTGGGTTTTCAGCCCTCAAGAAGCTAGTCTTCATGAGGGCAATAGATTTCACCATTCACCTCATGAGCAGTAAATATTTATATAATTATTATATCAAATGTAGCTACTTTAAAACAAATAATTGTTGATAATAAAGGGTGTTGTAGTAGTAGTTGTAAGTAAAAAGTTTGTTTGATGATGATAATTTATTTTTCTTAAAAATTATATTTTAAAATTTTCTGAATCACACTGTTACCGTGAATTGCCAATTTTGTGACAGAAAGGTATCGTGGATATCATATATTGATTGATTGATTGTGCCCTTGTTCAAAACTATTGTATTATAATTACAAAGAATAGCATATTATAATGTATAAAATGAATAAAATTACTTATTATTTCCAATATTTCAGGCTACCCAATGCCGCAGAAAGTGCTACATCAGTTACAGCAAGCAACAAGAAGCAACATTGTAAAGAACAGGTATGAGGGCGTAATACGCAAAGAAAGTGTGGTCACATGGCAAAGGGAACTTAGTCCAGAAGAGATACATGCAATAGAAGAAATTTGTAAGGAAACTATGGAGAAATTCAAATATAAGTCTTTTAACTCATGATAAAGATAAAATAAAGAAGAAAGTTGTAAATGATGTTAAAAACCATCATCTACAGAGTGTATTCTGGAAATGCAACTTATGTTAAAAAGGTTGGTTGTACAATTAATATATTCACGGAATGGGCAACTTAATCTATTATCTGGTGAGCGTTAAAGCTATGAGATGGTAAATAATGTTTGCTTATTACAGTAAAATAAAGTGTGATCATGATGAAGATGAGAAAAGTGGAAGAATTGTTACTGGTATACAGTTGCCTGTCAAGGTTGGGTGGGGTGGGGGGCACACATGGGAGCAAATAAATAAACACCTTTTTCCCCAATAGCACCTTCTCCTCTATTGAATTGCACCTAGATTAAAATGAAACTTGGCCATTCCTGACTAGTCTAGCACATGGGTACTAATTGTGACACATTTATAAATCTGGACAAGATTTAGGTTTTTTTTGTATTATTTCCTAGTAATACAATCTAATTTTTTTACTTATTAATGTTTATGTTCTTTCACAGTTTGTGTAACCTGAAGTTTACATGCAACATGAAACTAGAAGGTGTTTACACAAATTGTAGGATAAGTCAAATTCGTATTTATTTTTTAGTATATAAATAAAAAATCATCAGCCTTTTGTCCCACAGAAAGCCCTTTGCAAAACTTTGCCAAGTATTTCGCTTGCTGCTTCTGGGTATTCCCATACTGTATGCCTTAAAATCATATTACTGCATATAATGTAGTGTCAACTGCCGATTGTATTTTTTTTTTGTGTGTTTATTTTACCTATATCTAGGATATATGTGCAGATTTATTCCCCAGGCACATTCTTTCATACATGTTGTAGCAAAATGGCTAAGTTGTAGCAAAAATTGAAATTCATGTTATTGGTATTTTCAGAAATTGGACATTTTAAGCCTGAGTTACTGGAAAGTGAAAGTACAGCACTCTTAGAGTCACGATAAACATGGTTTTGAATAATGGCCTTCCAAACTTATTTGTGGATACATTGTTTAATAGAATTAACTATCAAAATAACGTTAAATAAACGATTTATTGACCACTTCCAGAACTAATATTTTTGGATATGATTAATAAGACATTAAACTGTTGATCTATAGTGAAAAACAAATTTGGATTTTTTAGCATTCTTTTTGAGCTCCCATATTTTATAGCTCATTTACTCAATGCTGGCCTGTGCAACAACTTAACCCTTTCGCCACGGCAATGTGTGAGCGTTTCAGTCAGTACTCACATGTACAGTAGAGCTATAGATAAGCTAAAAAAGGTTATAGGTCACAGCTTGGAAATAGTAAACAATATTTAAACTAGGTTTACTATAGGTCTTCATATGGATATGACACTGACCCTGACAGTGAGAGTTTGCAGGTTATAATCCCCCCAGAGATTCTTTTTTTCATACAACTGAATTAACTTTTCGTTGAAGGGCTATGCTTGATACAAACTGAGGTTTATTTGTACAATACAGAAGCTTGGGGAATAGACTTTCTTATTTAAATATATTAGGTCTCACAGCAAATTTGGCAGTGTATTAGTTTTCTGCAACATCTATAAAACATACAGACTTAAAGATTGTAGACATTACACACCGACTGGATCAGTACTCAGTAGAATTAGTGGTCTTAGATCCAAAATGATATTTATGGGTCTCTGTGGTCTAACAGTATGACGCTCGCCGAGATAGGGAGAGATTGCGGGTTTGATTCCCACCAGAGACCTCTTTCATACAACAACTAAGGATATTTTGTTGATGAACTATGTTTGATATGATTTATAACATGTCCCTATGTATTTGAACACTGCATTTCTCTCTCCGTCTCTCTAGAGTGCACTTGCACAAATGCACACCGGCCCTCTATAGTTTTTTGAGAGAAAAATGCACATTTGTGGAGAGCTAGGTATTCATCGATAACACAGATGTGCATTTTTGCTAACCGGTGAGAGTCTCCACGCACAATGCACATGTGTGGATTAACACAAAAATCCTATTCTCTCAGCTAAAAATTAATTAATTTGCTAATTATTTGCAGTTTTGTGGGAGATTTTAACTTTCTCCCATTAATATTCATGTCTCCCGTCATTTTGACACTTCGCTCAAGAAAATCTGCGAAAAATCACGATTTTGCGACAAAAAATCAGTCGGCTCCGAAATATAAGGTATAGGCTATTTGTTACAAAGCCGAATTTTCCAAATTCTTAATAGCAAAACCAAACTTACTGATATGAAATTGATACGATTATATTTTTCCTAGGCTAAAAAATACCCAGGAGTCATTTTCCCGGATTTTTAGAGCGGTTCGATAACTAGAAATAGGGTTTTCCGGCGATTTTTAGTTGTGTTTTTAATAATGCACATGTGTGGATCAATGCAAAAAACGTCGTTTTTTTTAAAAATAAAAGCTTAATTTTTTTAGCAAGTTTGGATTGAACATGTATAATATTAACATGCTCTCAGTAACTGAATAAAAATATTTCGTTTTATTATACAACTAATAGGAGAAAACATGTTTTCTCTCAAAATCTCGTGCACATGTGTGGATTTTTCCAGAATTTTGATCGGCTATAACTTTTAAAATAATCATTGGAATTAGATAAAAATTTGTTTGCTAGTATCCCATTATTGTAAGGCAAATACTAATATTTGTCTCATTTCTTCAGCTCTTTATTTTCAATGGAAAATTTTATGTCACTTAAACATAGAGAGAGTGGAGAGCGCACAAGTTTTTTTGGGGGCGCTTTTCACATCTGGCTCTTTCGTTATGGTATTTTTAAGGACGAATTTTACCTTGCCACTGCCTAATACATGGGCTTTTAGGTTAAATAGCACTTGAATTCGCAATATTGTATTTTTGGAAAATGATGTGTAATAACTCTGTAATTTAATGCCCTGTAAATTAAAATATGATCATGAACTGACTTTCAGAAAAATTATGGTTATTTCTTATGGATAAATTATCGTTCTGGACTTTATCGCGGAAACTATTAAAATTTGAAAATTATATGCTTTCCTTTATATGAAACGAATCTACAATTATTGCACTAAAATCCTACCGTAAGGTTTAGCTTAAAAATTCACAGGAATCGAATAATTAGCCTTTTTCTGAGGCTATACACAAATTTTCATTTAAAAAAAAATCAGCGGTACGGATTATATTAATTATGCGGTTCAAGACGCATTGATAGTTTCGAGTCGATCCGCTACCGTAACTGTCTGGTGAATTTATATTGGTAAATTATTAGACCTAAAATGAATATTTTAATCAAAATTTCAACCAATTACCTCAAAATATACTTTTTACTTTTAATGATGCGAAACTCTATTTATTTATGGACATAAAAAAGTAAATTTGTGTTAGTTTAGACATCAGCAGAAAGTGAAAATTAGCATGTTTCTGGTAGTACTCTATAGATTCGGGGAAAAGCTATAACTATATAACATCATTATAACTCATAAATAAAAAAATTCCTTTTTATGAAGCCAGCCTACATTAATTTCTTACATGTAAAGTACATTAAATTTAGCGTAGACATCAACAGAAAACGATAATTAGTATTGTTCCTGTGCAATCTAGAGCCAACGAAAATATGGATTGCCCTAATGTTAGGCCAATGGTTATGTTAGGGTTATTTAATGTTAAAAATTTGATGACTAAAAACTACAAATTTGCATTTTCCTTTTTATGACAGAAACATATATTCTTTTCTAAATCAATAAAATATGTTTATGTTAGCTTATGCATCAACCTAAATTGAAAATTAATATTTTTCTGATAATATCTCAATTACAAATCATAGGATCGTCAAAACCATTTTTTTTTTGCCAACATTACAGAATAAATAACAATAAGGCGGTTCAACCTCCATTGGACGTTTAGAGTCTGTCTGTAGTGCGACTCGTACGTGCGACGGCCCTTTAAATCGGGATTTAAACGCCAGGTTCTGCTGGCCTAGGAAATATATATAAACAAAGTCACATCACATACATATTATATATAATAACAAGATACATTAGGTCTATTCATCAAATTTGATTTTATTAATTTTCCACTCAGTTTCAATATGTATTTATTAGGGACCACTTGCCAGGCTCGTACTTAAATAACATAAAGTAATTATTTTAATGACAAACAACCTAATTATACAATAGCAAGTTGAAAAATAACAATATTTTGGCCAAGAATACATTCATCTAAAGAAGTCTGCCCAGGATTAATCCTATCTGTTAATCAATTAAGAATACAATAAATCAATTTCTGGAAGCAATTTGTATCAATCGTCATAATATGGGCTTATGTGTATTAATATATTACATGCCACACATATTTTTTTATAAATAAATATTACGCTATGTTTGCAAGACAAGTGGGAAAACTATAATTTATTTATCAGAAAATACTATATATTTTTGAACATCATTGCATTGAATTATAATATATATTAATTATTGGCTTTTGTAGCATCCTCGATCAACGTCAGATCTAGCCTATATAGAGTGTTTTTTCTGTATCACAATCCAAATTACTAATGTCGTTCTTGCTTGTCTTTCTGACTTTCAAGGAAAAACTGTGATGAAACACAATTGATCAATATCTTGCATAAATTGTTTAAATGTTGTCATCTGTGTAGATTTATGTTGTGTGTACACTAAAGCAAGAAAGTTACATTTTAGCACTGGGATAACAGTATTTTGTTGTCTTCTAAACCATGAAGCAGTTATCTCTTTTCCATCATAGTACTTCAGTCTATATAGGCAACACTCCAAATTTGTTGTACGCAGTTTTACAGAACATCGAAATATGTACAATACAGTATATTGCCAAGTAATATGCTGTTCTCTGAGTTTTTAATTGTGTGTGACAAGTGAATTTATCACAAGACCTAGTCATGAATCGATAATTATAATGTTTAATTTGATATATATATATATATAGAATGCTGGACGCCTCT